TTGGAATCACTGGGAGAGAAAACATGACAATATTAGGAATCTGAAGAAGTCCTAGTCGAAAAGAATCTATATAGTATGCATTACTGTACAGATTCCCTCATCGAAATCGAGAAGTAAGCCTGCTAAATGAGCCAGTTGGTGCAAGTTGCGGAAAACTTTTCACATGTACTGAGAAAAATGCAGTGGTCCTGGTCGTTGAACGGAGACGACGTTAGATTTCAGCCGATAGTGGGTAGCATTCGACGTCCACATAGCCCCCCCCCCCGCGCTTTTGCAGAGCATCAGATTTTACTCGACGACGAATCTACGTTAGAACTGAAAGCGGTCGGAGGGGGAATTCAAGCGTACCACAAACCGCTTCTTTGCTGGCCTAGCACAGACAAAAATTCACATTTTTTCCTGCAAGAAACTATTCACAAATTGACTGCCTAAACGTGGACGAAATTCAGATATGCTGTGCACAGAACCGAGCCTAGCATGTCTGCCTCTGATCGCTGTCCCATTACAGTACAAGCGAAAATTTACTCCGAGGTGAAACTCGCGGAAATGACCCACAATGTGGATCAAAGAGTCTTTTCTAGCAACTATGTAGTGCTATAAATCTCACATCGTCGAAAAAAATAATTCGGGTTAGGGACACACGGACGTGAGACAATTTTACCGACTGTAGATACCTCCATACAGTGTGACAACAACACATGATCTAACTGTCCATTGGCCTCAGTGTGTGTGTGTGTGTGTGTGTGTGCGTTAGCCCACAAAGCCGATCTGGTTATGCCATTTGTGTATACTTCAGCTTCGTACTACATTTGTTGTACTACCCTCCCCCCCCCCTCACCCCCCAGTGATCCGTGCAGGCCTCCGACAGAAAGATTGACCTGTTACGTCGTTCAGATAGACTGATGTCACAATACAGGCGTTGAGTCAATATTTCAACAGACGTGCGTGTGTCTACATCGAACAACAGAGATCATTGCAATTTTGTGTAATTTCGTAAAAAGAACACCGTATCGGTGATCTCGTACCTCTCTCTCTCTCTGTCACAGGTCACAGCCCATGGTTTCTATTTTCTGTATTCGTTTCGGAACCAAACGCGGTTTTCAAACACCGCTGACTGATGACAACAGTTCTGTTGTCATAGACAATTGCAATCAGCTTGGGGATGGGTATCGGAACAAGAAAACACGTAAGGCCACCAGCACCCTTTGGGCAGACTTACTTGTTGCACATCGTGTAGGCTGCGGACAACATTTGCACCGTCCTGTAAATCATGAGATTAAGAGACAATGCATCAGTGCATCAGTGATATCATCATGACAAATGTATGTTTACGATTCAGAGAGATCAATCATTCTTTGACAATCATCTTCCTAAGTTCATTCAGTCAACCATACCCTCGGGAAACACCAGGTTTCAGTTCCGGTCTCGTTAGAGCACATACTGTTTAACTGAAAACACTGTTTTCCTGTCACGAATTTGAATACGGCAGTCAGAAACGTGGGTTTGCACAATGCGTCGTCCATGATCATTTCGGTGCATCTGTGCATACACGTGCAGTAAGTGATTTATTTATCGTCAGTAAGATAATAACTGTGATACGAAGACAAGATCGCTAATCACAACAGACCACACGATACACTCACACAAAGAACGGGAGAGTGCAGGGGTTAATTATCAAGGCAAAGCGAATGTGACAAACCATTCCCGTTGTTTGCATAGATCGGGTTTGAGAGAGTATGAATGGTTAGAGCCCCGGCAAACTTCAGTAACTTCATGTTTATTGTGTTGCAGATGACCTGAAATGAGTGGGTTGGAGTGACACCATTTTTTGTTCGAATAAATCTTGTGTTACCGAAGACTTGAGTTTTTTTCTGCTCATTTGATGACGTAACAGTTTCAAACTCGTCGTCCATCACTTTATTAAGCCACATGGGGAAGTGTTCGGTCATTCGGTGACGTGGAGACGAGGTACGAAAAAAAAACACGGAGCGATTAGATGGAGTAGGTGTCTCACGTCTTCCGGGTTGGGAGCCAAAAGACTCCGTAACCGGAGACATTGATGATCACGGCAACAAACCAACAGCAATGGCGATCTTGCTGTCAATTCTTATTAGACCACAATGCTTGAAATAGTATGTATGCACAGTTGGACTATGCTCTCTGTGTGTGGACCATAAGCGGTTCGTTTTCTTTCCCCGTCCCTGTTCTCCTTACACATTGTAACTTACCTCATACGCATGAATAGTTTGCAGGGATCAGTGAGTTTCGCTTCACTGTATTACATTGTGCAATAATAAATAAATAAATAAATACAGTAAACAGATTTAATTAGGATAATATAGTCAAACATAAATGGAAGATTTGATTTTATGGGAGATTTCTGATCGGGATTACCGGATTTAAGTGTTTATCTTCGCTGCTGTCGAGCAAAATGAACTGGTTGATTGTCTGTTTCGGAGCGACATTTGAAAACTGAATAATCCCGCAGGGAACTGGTTGGTAGTGTCAACACACGCGTCTTACGTGAACAGGGCCTGAAATTCCAATCCCGGATGGACTAATGCACACGTACTAGTCCCACTGATAATCTCGGCCAAGAGTGAAATCGCAGTCTATTACTTTTCGAGTTTATAGTTAACGGAGTGAACTGAGGATTGTGTGTGTGTATGAGTGTGAAGCTTTAGCCTGCAGAATAACCAGTCCGAACCGATATTATTTGTCCCACATACAAATAACAGTGATTTTAATCGATATCAATGTTGGTCCGTCCCTTAGAAGACCACGAAACCAGCGTTACATTAAGACAGAAAGAATTCCTGGGATAATGCTTTCACGAAAGATGGAACAGAGAGGATACGAACAGAGCGGGAGAATGTCAAAGTTCACTTCAGTTTAAACAACCATTGAGCATGCGTTTCCGTGCAACGCTTTTGTTTACTGTCTTTTAGCTGCCCATTTGGGTGAAAAGTAGGAGGGAAACACGAAGGGTAAAAGTAAGATCGAAGAGAGAATTGAAAAGTTCAGTGGACTAATGATGTAGAGAAAATGAGAAGATGCACGAACGCCATTGTTTACGACACTGAACCATATCACTCACTGTCTCTAACCACCACCGGTTACGATCATCCCGAGGTCCTCAGCCAGGGAGCCTAACGGGACTCATGTGACCCAGACTCCTGGTTAGGGTTTTCATACCCTCGCGCCAGGTCTTAGCTTGACCACCCTTTGCTTTTTACACCCACTACCTGCCTCGGCAAACACATCGTTCGCCGTGGTAACGTGCGTAACACATGCCCCAACCAACGTAATCTACGGAGATCAATGACCAAAAGCAGTTGGTAAAAACGCAATATAAGGTGAACAATACCACATTAGCATTTCCGATTCAATCGGAAAAGGAAATTCTCATTGCACAAACATTCCAACCCTCGTGTTAAAGTGTCCTGCTGTACGGTTTGTCCAGAAATGTTTGTCCGGAGAATATCTCCCACTGTTATCTCTGTCGTATTCAACGCACATATGCATATGTGGGACGGGAAGCGATCGCGTGTGCATGTGCGTTGGACGTGTACCTCTGAAAGCATGACCCTTTTTGTTTTCTTGCTTTGATTGGTGCACTGTATAACGCTTCTGTTTGTTGATATGCAACGGTTGGCGTCGAGAGAAGTACATAGTGCACATACTGTCATGCATAGTGCAGTTGAGGTCTGTCTTTTAGAGTCAACTTGTACAATTGGCGGTAGGAAGAAGTGTAAGCGCCAGAGGAACTGACCGAGGTCACAACGTAAGCACGGGGAAACGAACATAGTGCTGGTTTATATCCGAAACAATTAAGGACAGAAGTGATTCAGGTTGCCATTTCGTCAATAAGACGAGTTCGCGAACGGGACAAGATTAGCACAATAGGACAAGATAAGATCATGGCTCTGGAGTCGTGGTGATTCTATTTGAATACAACAAATCGTTTAATAGCAGTCAGAACGATTACCCTACCAGGAGGCACGATAATGGTAACCACAGGTTGATCTTTTGGTTGATTTTTATCAAGTTTACACAATCGCATTCGGTAATCCGATGATTGGATCAATCGGGAGTCGCGTATGTTCAGACACATTCGGCCGTGGGTACATCCATTAGTTGCTTATGGTTCACTACGACCGCAAATGGAAAGTGCCCGCCTAGAGAGCGAGAATAATGCATTGCATCAAAGTTACAATCACTTGTTTCCGGCTTTCGGAATTCGCGTTTATTCGAGAGGTCAAGACCAAATTACAGGTAATTTTAAACATTGTGACTGGTCCGATGATTGCGCCAGCATGCGTACGTTTATGAACGTGTAGTTTGTAACATTCACCTGGGGTATGGAGTTAAGAGGTGCTAGATAGCAGTAGGCTGGTAGACTGTTGTGTCATTTGGGGACACTCTTACCTCCCAAGTCTCCATCACCCTCACCTGTGACTCCAATCATTGTACAGCATACTACAGTGAATCGAAATTAACTGATCGCTGCCAAGAGGCTAAGGCATACATAAATCAACGAACACAGCCCAGCAATCCACCTGACAGGTCGTGTACCCGAGGGATGACGGCGACTGCCTAGTAGGAGAAAAAATCTAATTCCTAATCCAACGACCATTAAGAAAATCTGTTCCTCTAACAGATGTGCACAGATACCTGATTTGAATCTACATGGACGGCATAGCAAATGATCTGATTAGGAGCCATTTGTAATCTTGTGTGTGAACACACACTTGGTCGAGTAAATGCTAGAAGTACAATTTGGAAAAGAAAATTGAGTGACGCTAAGGAACATCGCTTGTATGGAACTGCTCTAATACTTCGTGAGCTCAAAGANAACAAAAGCCTTCGGATTGTCTACTACAGTTGATCATATATGCGGCGAAATTGAAAGCTGGCTAAATGAGTAAGAGACACACACAATAGGGACGACAGAAAAATAGAGCAACTGTGAATCCGGCTCACCGTATCATTGAACATTTTCACAACACTCGAATCCATAGTGACGGGTTCGGACAATCGAGACAACTGATGATATCGCATCCAGGTAGCTCCGAATCCGACAATACCAGCAAGAANGCTTGCACGCGTTCCTCAGCCTGGGAACGACGCAACGCGCCTGAGAACGCCTCGAAAGCAGTTTGCTCGTCTGCCTCGGCTGTGTGCAACTTTTCTCGAGCTTGTTTGTGTTGTCGCGATACCTACCGATTCGAAACGGTCGAGGAAAGAGGATGAAAACTCGATAGTTCATCCAAACCATCCATCCATCAGGCAATATTAAATTTAAAGCAGAGATAACAGAAGTGAATATAATTGTTTTGTTTTTCATGGAAGAACAAGTGAACTTAAAATCTATCAGTAACCTCCCGACAATGCACAAAAGTGAAACGAGCTATCCCCGTGATAAATTTGAAGAGAGAAGCCAATACAGCAACATTGCACGATTTGGGTCCTGGACGATTTCGCTGCATCTCAACTGGTGCCTACTGCAGACAAATACATTGTTTATATAGGGTTTGGAAATGGATTACAAAATAAACAAATGTAAATGGGAGAAGGGTCACCAAGTCAAAGCAAAGGTGATGAACAGATCCTTTTGTTGACAAAAAATTGCTTTCTATCGATTGATTGCAATCGCCTCAGTGATCTTGAGAATTCTGGTATTGTCATTGGTAAAAATCACTCGAAATATCTTCTCGCACTCAGCGAGGTGTTTCGTCATCAATAACTGCTTGGCAATCGATGAGCGTCATGTTTTGTAAGCAAGGTTTGACATGGCAACCTTGCGTTGAACCCAGTTTGGAATATGTTCTAAAACCCGATTACGTAATTTCCTTTCTGTTCTGCAAATGTCATCATCATCATCGTACAGCGAAATACAGTGAAGCGAACTTCACTGATCGCTGCCAAACTCGCAATGCATAAAGGTTAGTGGTACAATTTAAGGTGGACAGGGATTGGATCTCTTTTGAGGGAGGGAGAAGATGAGCCACTATGGTCAACACACACAGTACGCAATCGAACTCTGCATACATACCGTTTCAAGCATTCTGATCTGATAAGAAACGACAACAAGAACGCCACTGCTGCCGTTTCGCTGTCATATCCTTCAGTGTCTCCAACCAACCAGTTGTGGAGTCTTTCGGACCGCAACCTCGAAGGAGAGAGACACCTACTCTACCTAACGGCTCTGTGCGTTTCTTTATGCCAATGTAAGTGTTGATGACACAACACCTCGCTAATCGCGAGAAAGCATTTCGAGTGGTTTTTACTAATGATAACACCAGAATGCTCAAGATCATCGAGGCGATTACAATCAAGCGACGGAAACAAATTCTGCGTCAACAAATCCATTTGTTCATGACCTTGGGTTCGCCATGGTGACGATCCCCCCAATCACGACTGGTTATTTTGTAATCCATTCCCAAACCTTATAGAAACATTGTATTTGTCTACGGTAGGCGCCGGTTGAAATGCACAAAAGATTCACTCGGTCAGCTTTCACAGTACACTTCTGTTTCGTTGAATATTTTTCCGATGTGTTCTGTTGATGAACTCTATTTGCATTAATTGCTTATCGGGTTGCATGGAACATGCGCGCAGATGAATACGAACCAGGCGATAAACTGTACTGGACCGACCATACATTTATTACGCATCCGTTGCGGTTTTCTCACTGATAATAGTGACAATTATCAAAACAATCTGTTCACTTTTACTGATGTGAAATATGAAACAATCAACCGACCACGACATCAGCACGTGCAGTCAACACTTACATCAATTGTTGGCTCAAACAAGCTTAAGCTATCAGCGCACAGAACACCAAGCGCAAATACACCTTGTTCCGGTAAACATCGGAGATCATCCATTCTGTATTGTTTGCTCTCGTATCGGATCGAAATACCGCACGTGGTCTTGTCTAATTTGAAACCAGATACTAAGTATCATCAAAACGGTCCCGATCCGCTGGCACGTACACTGTAATTCAACCAAAATCTGAGTGTAGGTAACAGTTGATGAGAGGGAAAACGTTACAACTGCCAGAAACATCAAACGAACATTGATGTATCTGAACAGGGAAGCCAAAAATGCAGGTTTGCACCATGTAGCCTGGATCATTTTGCGGCATCTGTACAAGGGTATACTGCAGTTTGTGAGAACATTAGTATATGGTCACATATAACAGAATCACAAGAGGAGAAGGATTGCGGTACTGTTATTTCTAACCATGTATTATTGATCAAATAAAAATTAGGATGTATGTGTAAAACGCTGCGAAATAATCCGGGGTACATTCTACAAACCTGCATTTTTTTACTTCTCTACTCAAATTCATTGCACTTGTAAAGTTGAGTAAGGAAAATGAACGTAGGGAAACGAACGAATACTTATTCTCTCCCCTTAGTTAGGGTTATCTAATTGACATTAATTCCCACGGTTCTATAAAAGCCTCCACATGAGACTAACGCAATCCTACTACGATACTTCTTGGATAGCTTTGACAGTAGTTATTTATGCGTTACGATCTGCGACAAGGTAGGCGCATCCAATCAGGTTCTTGCGCCAGCCATGCACCCCGAACCCCGACATAAGACCTAGGACATCCACATCGGGTAAGACTGTACTTGCACCTTCTCTAGCCAATATCGAGGTGATATTTTTAGCTCGAACGAGGTACGGTTATAGGCTTTTTGTTCAAGTTTTGTTTCCGGTTGGTGAAAGACATGATCGAACCGCTGCATCTTTGGTGAAATGAGAATCACTTCGCTATATCCTAACAGCGTTGACCATGGGTGGAGTTTGAAAAGTGATCGTCCCATTAATTTTAGTCATATATCGGATGCTCCAGTAGTCAGAGCATTTCAGTCTTTTTCGTGTCATTCACTTTGTGGCCATGTTTCCTCAAGTGTATACAGGGAAATGCAAGACCACAGCTTGATACACATGCAGTTTTGAGTGGAGGCTTACTTCGCTGGACAGCTACAGTTGTGGGAATGCTCTCCTTGTGCAGTCGACGAGAAGTTTGACTTTATCTCCAGCTTGATAGTTTGGCTGGATGGTCGAATCTATTAAGTCTCTGGACAAAGTAGCGACTTAACTTGTGATAAGAAGCTATCATCGTCAAGAAACCTCCCGTTTTCAATTTCCACGATGGCGGCGACGAGTTCTGATCCCTTAGATGAACCAAGGTCAATTTTATGTGGATCGGCAACGTCTGGTGGCATTCTACGGCTGAGTCGAGAAAGAGAGCGGTTGGGAAGGTGGATGATATGTGGTAGCGCAGAAAACAGCGAAATGCATGAGTCGGAAAAGCTACCTAAAGTCTCCAACAGTAGCTTATTAGGTGAACCTAAACCATTAAATTGACGGAGATTAGCCCCCTACGGAACCGGGGACACACAATCCACATATCATGGAACTCTGCCCGATCC